GCCCAACATCCAATAGATGTTATTCTTATATATGCACTTATGTGTTGATCACTTAATACCAATTTGATGGTGAGTACATGTGGTGCTTGAAGCCTAGATATTTCTTTACTTCTCCTTTCAGGTTGTTGGACGACCATTCTTGCCTTCCTACTGGAGTCTTGGGTTCCAGCTCAGTCGCAGGGACTATGGTGGCATCAGTGGATTGAGAGAGGTTGTAAACCGCAATCGTTTAGCTGAGATCCCATATGTAAGTTGAGATTTCTCTTATCGTGCATTAAGCACCACTATCTTTTATCTTTTGCATCAAGTTCGATTCATTCATTCAAAAATATAGATAGATTAATAGACCGAGACAGACACTTTCAGAAATTTGCATGCTAAATTACCTATGTGATCATGTAAAGTGTACAGTTTATGGAATCAGATGGATATGGCTTCAATTTTAGCTTCATATCTCTATGCAATGTTGGGCTAGTTAATTAATATATCTGAGTTTAGTTTCTACCTTTATAAAATAAGAATGCCAGACTTACTTTGGTGAGCGAGTAGGAAGAAATGCCTTATACTACACATGTATAGCATCTAGCACAGAGGATGAACTCCATCAAGGTCAGCTGTTATTTTATAAGAGAAAGCAACACCTGCAGTGACGTGGTAACAAGAGCTGGTGATTATAATATTGACTTACAGTAAATGAGTTTCTCATAGTGACCTTGTATACCCCTCCCAGATCTAGCAGGCTCTAATTTCGAAGCCTGATGGTTGCAAAGTATTTATGATATTCAATGTCAACCACAAAATCAAAAGATAATTAAGTGTAATATTTGATAAGCTCCTCCAGGAAACATATAACATGTGGTTAATGAAGTTATTAGAACAACGTGTTCTGGGCTAGCTCTTTGGAACATTGGTGCAAGCACATATGGGTTAACATTTGAAGGAAGATTGGACAGGTGACATGATTTTGGCTTTATCTCGGGATTCTTCAATCCCCTGTCTGAGCAGTGATGAGGGCAGGCAGGGGGATTAATTTTTTCTGTGAGAAAATGGGTGTCCAGTGGGTTGCCTTGTTGTGATACTGATTGTCTGGAATTTTACTTCTCTCATATCTGCTATCTGCAAACATCCAATTCCAGGAGGAATCAGACCAATCATTGTCATGCTTTCTTTCATTAGTTTACAAGGGGCTTTCACATTCATTGTTAGCCCCCGTTTATCATTATTTTGTAAAGGAGGAAGTGGAGCTACTGTGTGGTTAATAACTTCTCCAGCAACACGAAACTAGCTAAATGCAGGACCAAAATTCCAACATAGTTCTTTTGACTCTGTGTGTGGTGTTGGTTCCAGTTTATCCTCTGGCTATGATAGGAAGGGCTTTATTGAATTGTCACCAGTTCAGAAACAAGTAAATGTTTCTTCCACGGGTGGGATCTTTCCCTGTATATGTTTGTGGAAGACAGCTGGGTTCTAAATGACTGCCCAGTATTAGAACAGATGATGCCACATTGGGCAACTGGCCACAAGTCACATTTTCCTTCAGGCCTGTAAGCTAGAGACTTCTAATGCATGATACGCGAGGAACACTTAGAAGACTTTTGGATGTCTTAGAGGTATGTAGCTGGTTGGGGAAAAAAGTGCAGCTGGAGTCAGAGAACCTATCCCGAAAGCCCCATTCGGCCCCTCACCTCCCCATGCACATTTTTAACACCTTCCCGTTTCAACCTCCTCCCTAAAAGTAATACCTGCCCCCATAGGTGGATGTGCAAACACAAGCGACAATGTGTGTATGACAGTTTGGTGAATTAAAGCTCTGTCCTTTTGTCATTG